GCACCGCAAAACCCACTCCGAATACACTGAAGCCAACAACCTCACCCGAGTTCAGCATCACACGCGGTGCCGGACCTCACGTCCCGGTAACTGCAGACACGCGCTGAACACCTGTGTGCAGAGCGCCACTGGGCGCCAGCTGGGCCGATGATCCACACTGGGTGCACTGCCTGCGTGGCCAGGCCGCAATCCAGGCATCCCAGAGGACTTTGGTGCCAGGCACTGAGGCCTGAGTGGGCGCGGCCACTCCCGGGATGTGTGGCCCGCAGCGCTGCAGCCGCTTTGTGGGTCCACGAAGGCGCTTGGGAAATGGACACAGTAACCGCGATGCTGTAAGGTGTAAAGGCTTAGCAGAGCAGTGCTGGGGGACAGAAAGAGAAGGCACAAGTGTGGCACTCTGAGGCACTGAGTACTTCGAATGGAGAAGCAGTGTCTCACTGTCCCTCCTTCCCCCACAGTGCAGGGAGCAGCTTTCTCTGAAATTCTCCTGTCTTCCTAAAGATCAGCTCCACCCCAACCCCAGAGCTGTCTTCTCTTCCCTCCCTGATTCTCCACTGGCCAAACGAGCGCGAACTCCATCACAGAAAAGACTGAACGTCAAACATCACACCCCAACCCAATCAAATTGCGTCCTGGGAGACTGCCTGTCCTTCAGGCCCATTCATTGGTCCAGAAATCATTTGCCCTTCCTACAAACCACCCATTTCCCCTCCTCCTCGCCCTATCAACAGGACAGCCAGGCTTCTCCCATCCCACTTCCTGTGAGTCTCACCCTCTCCAGGACTCCCGCGTGCCTGCACCTTAGTAAACCAGGGTGCTGCTTCTCCTGTTAATCTACCCGTTGCCAGTTTATTTCATAGATAAAAATTATCAACCTTTTAGTGGGTGGAAGGTGGTTAATTTCATCCTGGTAGGTTTTTGAACACAACGAGTCCTCCCAAATGCCATTTGTTCACTGCCTGAACAAGTAGCTACCAAACACCACTATGCCAGCCAGGCATGATTACAACTTCTAGAAGTCAAGCAACGAAGGAACACTGGACACGAATTCCTCCCTTGATGGAATTTATAGCCTAGGAAACAATAGCATCTAACTTAAGACAGTGATTGCTATTACCATTATAGTCAGGAAACCAGCAGGGCTCACTGCCTCCCCAGCGTGTTTAGCAAGTCGGGGAATATTTTTATTGTGATTATTGAGGGAGAGGATTATATCTACATCTAGTAGAGAATGTCCAGAGATGTTAATGTGACGGACATCCCACTATTCAGAGGTCCGTTTTCTTTATAAAAAATAAACAAATAGAGTGAAAAACAATCTGCCTAAAATGTCAACGGTGTAGAGATTGAGAAACCATGTTCTAAAGGTTACCGAATCAATTAAAAAATCCTAAGTGGTAACAGCTAACATGTTTTATGGACTGCAGTAGTACTATGCCTATATACATAGACAGGAATATTTATATATTTTACGTAAATATATCAGACAATATTTATAAAGTAGTATCAATTCTGTGCAGAGCCTTTAAAGCATATCTTGCTAGTTCTGATTTAAAAAATTCAGGTGAAGGATTTTACAAATAGACCAAGTCAATTTACAACCAATCCGCTACCCCGTACCATGGCTGGGTTTTACACTGCCACTAATCTTTCCTGATCCTCACACACCTGCTACAAAAGCTGATCTTCTGCGTCTCCCTGGTGGGGAGCTGGGTATCTGGGATAAGGGAGAGCACGGCAGATGAGAAACACCCGGAGCCTGGAGAGGTGAGAACCGGCCGCATGAGCTCACTGCCTGTGCCGCCTCTGACAAGTCACCTAACTTGCCAGTGGACCACAGGCTCACACCACAAAGCAAAGCCCAGACCACATTTCCTGGAAATTCAGAGGACTGTTAAACGAGGTAAAGCATGAAGACTGGAGGGAAGCTGCAAGGCGGATTGCCTCACATGACACCTGAGCACGTGCAAAGCTCCATCTTTGCCCCTCATCGCCGTGCAGGTTTAGCCAAGCGTCTCCCAAAGGCCCATCTGTTACAGTGTTGGCCCTCGGCCCGTGGCACCACTGGGAGATGGCGTGACCTTCCAGGGGAAGGGCCTAGGGGAGGACTTCTGCTCATAGCCCGTACGCTCTGCAAGGCGATGCTGGGTCTCCTCCTCTTTCTCTCTTTTGTGTCCCAGTCCTGAGGTGAACAGCCTTGCCACACACTGATGCCATGATGTGCTGTCCTATCACAGGTCTAAAAGCAACGGGGCAATCTAGCATGGACTGAAGCCTGAAAAACTATCAGCAAAAACAAACCTCCTCCCCTCTTTGGGCAAAGCTGATTATCTCGGGCATTTCTTACAATCACAGAAAGCTGACCGCCACAACCAGCGGCACGTCACGCGCACGGAGCGGCCGCTCTGCTTTGGTCATCTGCTCACTTAGTCCTGCAGTAGGTCTGTGGATCACATCGCGGGGCGGATGAGGGGAGCGGGGCCCAGGCAAAGGCGCAACTTCCATGTCAAGGTTGGTGAGAGGCGACCAAGGCTCCCAGGGACACGGTCGGTCGTGCCCTGGAGTACGCTCTCTGTGCATGCGTCTCTGAGCCCCTGTGAAGGCACCTGGGATGTGTTCTCACGGCGCCGTGCAGTCCTGGGCAAGTCACCCTCCTCCTCACTTCTGAGATTAAAGGCCCTGCTCCTTGGGCAGCCCTGTCTACTCCCTGGTCCTGACGCATCAGCCAGTTACTCACCAAAGCAAAGAGAGCAAATTCTCAGTTTTACAAATTAGCTTGTTTCTTGTAAGTAGGTAAAATGTGTACACAATAGACATTTTTCAATATAAAAGTTAAAGGCGCAGAATAAAGTATGGTGACGATGGAGCTGTTTCCTTGTCCCCCAGCCACCCACGTCCTTTCTACTGAGATGCGCTCTGCAACTAGTTTCTTGTATGCTGCTCCGAAATGTTCTGCACGATGTGTTTTTTTTTACTCAAACATATACAACTTACAACATAAATATATTATGTGGCAACCTGCTTTTTGCTAAACGGTATTTTGGAGGGAAGTCCATGTGAATACAAACACATTTCCCTTATTTTTATTAATGTTGAAGTATTCTGTAATTAATCATTCATGAACATAGTAGTATATTTGTTTGCATGTTTACTGTATTTATGTATATTCCCATCTAGAATGCATCAGATTGCAACTGCGTTTGCCTTTACTTCTGTATTTTAATCAAACAAGGTCATAAAGCTATTTTACTTTTGTCAGTTGGTAAAATCGCATTATCCCATGTATATCTCAATACATTTTTAATTTAATTTAATTTTATTGAGAAACAAATAGCAATGAGACAGTTTCAAAACTGATTAATAGGACAGTTTCAATAATTAATACATTGTATCTTGTTATCTTCTTAGTGGTTATTCATAGTACAAGAAGCAGACAGGATATCCTGTCTAAACACTATTAGTACAAATCTTTCTTTTCCTTAAATTAAGTGGAAGTAGATATATATATATATATATATATTAGCATAAATATACAGCTACTTTCTCTTAATTCAATGAGAAGGTTTTGAACTAAGAGTATTTAGACA